ATGGTGCCTGTTGAGGCAGAGTAATGTTTTTCTTTTTTAGTTTTAGAAGTCTTTAGGCTGGGTGGTGGTGGCATGTCCCTTTAATTGCCACACTCAGGAGGCAGAGGCAAGAGGATCTCTGTGAATTGGAGGCTAGCGCCAGCCTGGTCTACAGAGCGAGTTCAGGGCAGGCTCCAAAGCTACAGAGAACCTGTCCTCCCCCTCCTAATATTTTAATTTATGTATGAGAATTCCATACATATTTACAATGAATTTTGTCATATCCACTTCCTGATACCCCCTTCAATTCCTTCCAGACCCTCAACTCCATGACCTCTTCCTCCTCTTATTTTTTATAAAAACCCTCTGAGAACACAGTGCTAACCATGTGAGGCATCTTGGTTTCTCTATATCCTGTAACCAGACTGTGTGGTGTCTTCAGAAATCGGGTCCTACCGCCATTCTGGTGGGAAACAAAGAGCAATGGCAATAGCCTGGATTGTTTCAGAGGTCTCTAGAGTAATCTCGACCAACAGCTTGACCTGAAGTACTGCATGACTGGTGTTGGACATTTTATTTGATAGCCTATGGCTTCAGGAAGAAACATTGTCACAATATAAAGTAACTACATTTAAACTACATTTTTTAGGAAGTTTATGGAACAGTACATTTCCGTATGGCTTTTGGAATCACCCTTAGTATCAGTTATCCCACCCCCTGCCCCTTCCTCTACTTTTCCAGTTCCCCCTCCTCCATTCACACCCCCTCCCCCACCTCAATTCACACCCCTCCCCACCTCAGCTCACACCCGTCCCCCACATCTGCTCATACCCCTCCCCACCTCTGCTCACACCCCTCCCCCACCTCAACTCACACCCCTCCCCATCTTAGCTCACACCCCTCCCCCTCCTCCATTCACACCCCTCCCCCACCTCAACTCACACCCCTCCCCATCTTAGCTCACACCCCTCCCCCTCCTCCATTCACACCCCCTCCCCCACCTCAACTCACACCCCTCCCCATCTTAGCTCACACCCCCTCCCCCACCTCAATTCACACCCCTCCCCACCTCTGCTCACACCCCTCCCCCCATCTCAGATCACACCCCTCCCCCACCTCTGCTCACACCCCCTCCCCCACCTCTGCTCACACCCCTCCCCCACCTCAACTCACACCCCTCCCCATCTTAGCTCACACCCCTCCCCCTCCTCCATTCACACCCCTCCCCCACCTCAACTCACACCCCTCCCCCATCTTAGCTCACACCCCTCCCCCTCCTCCATTCACACCCCTCCCCCACCTCAACTCACACCCCTCCCCATCTTAGCTCACACCCCTCCCCCACCTCAATTCACACCCCTCCCCACCTCTGCTCACACCCCTCCCCCCACCTCCGCTCACACCCCTCCCCCACCTCTGCTCACACCCCCTTCATTGTTCCCCTTTCCCTCTTCATGTCACCTGTGCAGGCTGTACTTTTCTTCTAGACTATCTTAGAAAGAAGGAAAACAAAGATGAGCATCAATGAAATTATACGGGAGGATTTATTGGTCTATTCAACTCTTTATCTTGAAAAGTGAGAATAAAGCCTTCAACAAATCACTGGGGAATAAACGCTAGGGAAGCAATTTTATTTAACTCATATTAAATAATTTGTGCCTGCAAGTAAAGGCTGATGTATAATTTAAATTATAATCACTGTTGTGTCAGGTGGAATTTTATTTTCTTTGCTTTGTAAAAGTTAATTTCCACAAATAAAGATGGTAAATGCAGTGTTTTAACGATGCTGTTTTGTAAATGAGTGGTAAAGCTTCGTTGAATATTATGCAAATCCAGGAGCTAGGCTTCTTCTGTCCTAATAGAAATTAAAAAACAAAACAAAACAAAAAAAAAAAACACCAGTAAGGAGAACATTCAAGGCAATCCCCACTCTCGATCATAATGTATGTACTCTTCCGTTACCAATGATATACCAAGGCTAGGATGCAGCTCTGAGGAGGGTGCAGCTCTGAGGAGGATGCAGCTCTGAGGAGGGTGCAGCTCTGAGGAGGATGCAGCTCTGAGGAGGGTGCAGCTCTGAGGCTGTGCTTGCCTACAGAAAAATCAGATAAAAGCAAGCAGTGGGAAAGATTCAGAGTCAAAATGCACAAGTCATCACCATCACTCACAAATTGCTGGATACTCACCATGCCCATTCCAAATTCCTTAGTCCTAATTTTATTCTTGTGATGTAAGGTCACAATGACACAAAAGTGTGAACATTAACGAATGGGTTTAATATCAAGCTACGAGTGGAAGGAAGGAAGGAAGGAAGGAAGGAAGGAAGGAAGGAAGGAAGGAAGGGAGGGAGGGAGGAAGGAAGAGAAGAAGTGAGGAGAGAAAGGAAGCAAAGGGTAGAAATGGGTTTGGAATTAGGCCCAAAGAGCACAATCTCAAGGTAGAAGATCTGGGCAAATTAGGCAGGATCAATGCCTTTTCCATATTTGGGAGTAGGAGTTAGTTGTGCATAAATAAAACAGAGGATAGGTTTGCTCTGCTCCACAGGCTTCCAGGAGCATTTCTGCTCACATCCTATAAGTCATAACGTGGCTTGATGTTCATACCAAACTACAAACAAGAGGGATTATGGAGCCTCTAGCTTGGCTCCTGGGAGCCCCATTAACAGTTAGGAATGTCTTTTTGCCAACTAGCCACCCATTCTATCACCTCATACCTCTTATTAGCCTTTCCGTTCTAGAGTTTTAGACTGTTGATGTAAAAAAAAAAAGCTCTCGAGTCGGGGGTGGTGGGAGAAGGAGGAGGCGGAGGCGGAGAATCACTTTTAAATGGCGCCCAAGCAGGACCCGAAGCCCAAGTTCCAGGAGGGCGAGAGAGTGCTGTGCTTTCATGGGCCTCTTCTTTATGAAGCAAAGTGTGTAAAGGTTGCCATAAAGGACAAACAAGTGAAATACTTTATCCATTACAGTGGTTGGAATAAAAATTGGGATGAATGGGTTCCAGAAAGCAGAGTACTCAAATATGTGGACACCAATTTGCAGAAACAGCGAGAACTTCAGAAAGCCAATCAGGAACAGTATGCAGAGGGCAAGATGAGAGGGGCTGCTCCAGGAAAGAAGACATCTGGTCTTCAACAGAAAAATGTCGAAGTGAAAACAAAAAAGAACAAGCAGAAAACACCCGGAAATGGAGATGGTGGCGGTACCAGTGAGACACCTCAGCCTCCTAGGAAGAAAAGAGCCCGGGTAGAGCCTACTGTTGAAAATGAAGAAACATTCATGAACAGAGTTGAAGTTAAAGATCCCTGAAGAGCTGAAAGCATGGCTTGTGGATGACTGGGACTTGATCACTAGACAAAAACAGCTTTTTTATCTTCCTGCGAAGAAGAATGTGGATTCCATTTTGGAGGATTATGCAAATTATAAGAAATCTCGAGGCAATACAGAGAATAAGGAGTATGCTGTCAATGAGCTTGTGGCAGGGATAAAGGAGTACTTCAATGTAATGCTGGGCAGTCAGCTACTCTACAAATTTGAGAGACCGCAGTATGCTGAGATTCTTGCAGATCACCCTGATGCACCCATGTCCCATGTGTATGGAGCGCCACGTTTACTGAGATTGTTTGTGCGAATTGGAGCGATGTTGGCTTATACACCTCTAGATGAGAAAAGCCTTGCTTTATTACTGAACTGTCTACATGATTTCCTCAAGTATCTGGCGAGAATTCTGCAACTTTGTTCAGTGCCAGTGATTACGAAGTGGCTCCTCCTGAATACCATCGGAAAGCCGTGTGAGGGGCGTGCTCTCTCGCTCGTGCTTGGGTCTCTGTAAACAGTTTGGTTCTTAGTCCTTCTCTTGTACAAATAATGTACTTTGAAGACCATTAGTGTATAACAGAATTGATGTTTGCTTTCTGTTCGATTTTAAACAGAGAAAATAAAAGGAGTCAGTGCTCCTTTAATTCTTTCTTTTCATTTCAAAGTTTCTACCAGTGTATTCAGTGACGGACAACAGAGACATGCTGTAGAGTGTTTTATTGCCTAGTTGACAAAGTTGCTTTTGAATGCTGGTGGTTCTGTTCCTTTGACACTACACACTTTTATAATATGTGCTAACGCTCTATGAAAAAAATGCTCTGATTCCTAGTGCCAAAGGTTCACTTCCGTGTATATAACTGAACACTCATCCATCTGTGCTTTTTTTTTTTTTAAATGGTGCTTAAAGAGCCCATCCTTTGCAAGTCATCCATGTTGTTCTTTAGGCATTTTATTTTTGCTTAATTGTTAAAGAATGGGGGGCTTGTTTCATGGTTTTTGTATTTGTGTCTAATGCAAGTTTTAACATGATAGACGCAATGCATCCTGTAGCTACAGTTTTATGGAAAAGTCAATCTTGTAGGAGTTGTTTTTCAGATCTTCAATAATTTTTTTCTTTAAATTAAAAAAAAAAAAGCTCTCATCTTAAAGGGAATAATAGTAGATAGTTCATTCTGGAGGTATCTTAAGTGACCATGACACAGGAATATAGATTTGGGACACCCCAAATTCCATGTTCCAGTGTGGACGCAGCTTTGTGACATTTGCATAAATGTTTGGCAGATGGCTCAGACTTGTTGTTAGCTAGCTTTCACATTTTTTTTTGTTTTGTTTTGTTTTTGTTTTGTTTTTTTACTTCTCATAAGTTGTTTTATTTACAATGCCAACTTAGAAAGGCTCACTGAAATTGACTGGACAATGAACTAGGCAGAAAGTGTTTTACACAAAGAGGGAGAGCCCAAAATGCTACTTTCCACAGAGAACCCAAAGTTCAGTTTTATTCAGAGTAATGGGAAAAAAGAAAAAGAAAACAGAAACTTCTGCTCATAGAAGAAACTCAGCCACAGGCCAGATCTGTACTGGAAGAGCACATGCAGTGAGCACAAGGCTGTGTTTGTCTACGTGCTCTAATATTAACAGTTACAAACAGAGCAGGGCAGCTAGCATTGGGAACAACCCTTGCAGTGTTACCGTGTCAGGCACAGTACCTCACTTCTCTTCACACCACTGCTTCTCTTTGCGTACCTGGGCCTCTTCCTCTCCAGTGAAGGCGGTTTTGATATTGAAGGGTTTACAAATCTCCTCAGGAGTTTTCCCCTTAATCATATTGGCCACGGTCTTGCATGTGACATCAAGCAAACCTTTGATGTCTAAATAGTTTGCAGCCAGAGTAAGTTCAAAAAGTGTTCCTTGGTCTACTTTCAGGAATTCTTGGTCCCAAACAGGAATATCATCTGTCTGCTTTTCTTTGTTCTCATCGTCCTCAGGAGGAGGAGGAGGGCCATCCTTGTGATGGGTGCACCACTGAATGACCTTTTTTAGAATTGCTGCATTAACATTTGGTAAAGGAACAGGATCATCATCTCCCTCATTACCCATTCCCAAATCTTCCAGGATGGTCTTGATGGTCACAGATTGTTTGGCAATTTCTACATCAACTTCAAATATCTCTCCATCAGAACTCTGCAACTTTATCGAAGGCATGGTGCTCGGTCGAGGCTGACGAGCAGCGTTCGGTAAAGTCGAGAAATACCGAAGACAAGGCCACTACTAGCTTTAACATTTAAATCAACCAATTTCAATTAATCTGTGTATCACCATGTGGCCTGTGGCTTACTGGTAGTGCTCTGGCATTTTGTTCCTTGGGTGGCTGCTGGCATCTCTCAGATGCTGCCCTTCTCCTGTATCTCTGTTTAGATTTCCCACCTGGCTCCATCTTTTCTTGCCATAGGCCAAAGCAGCTTTATTTATCAACCAACGAGAGCAACACATATTCACAGCAGACAGAAAGATATCCCATATCACTTACTAGTTGAACAGGAAGATTTCCATGAGTTTGTAGCCAGATAGGGCTACAGTGTAAGTTCTGGTTCAGCCAGGGCTAGATAGTCAAACCCTGTCAGAAACAAGTAAGCAAGCAATGAACTTCAAGAACATTACCACTTCCAGATCTAAAGAACAAATGACAGCAGTTGAAGTTTATAAAACTTAGGAATTTGGAGGAAGCCACAGGGCTCTGAAGACAGGACATCTGATACGTAAGCCCTGCATTCTCACGGTTGAAACTCCAAACAGAAAATGCTACTCCTTCAAGGGAGGAGTTATATCAGGGTAAAGGCGTGAGGCTGAGAGATGGCTCCATTGGCAAAGCACAAGCATGGATATGAATTCAGACCCCCAGCTCCCATGGAAATGGCCAGGAGTGGTGACACACATTTTTAGCCCCAGCATGGGTTGGGTGGGAACAGGCAGATCCCTAGAGCTCATTGGGCATATAGCTAACCAAATATACGAGCTTCAGATTCCCAAGAGATCCTGTCTCAAAAAATAAGGTAGGGGATGTTTTGAAAGAAACCCAGTGTCATTCTTTAGCTTCCATACACATTCACACCTGCACACATGCGAACAGATTCACATGGGCACATACATAAATACATACCTCCCCATCCCTCTCTGTGTGTCTCTCTCACACATACAAACACACAAATACACAAAACCACACACACACACACACACACACACACACACACAGGATATCTATTCTCACCCAAAGGACTACATCAAATTTAAAAATGAAACAAAAACTTGCTCTTCTGACAGATGTTTTCCTTTAAAAATGATAAGTTAGGAAGATCACTACAATTAAAATAGGTCACTAAACTTAAAAACATAATCAAGGAACATTTCTATGCCCACAAATTTGATAACATAGATGAAGTGGAATGGAAGTTTACTAAAAATACAGTCTTTCAAAGTTCATACAAAGAGAATCAGATGTTCAAAATAGGCCCACCAAAGGACCTGAGTGAGTCAACAATTAATAAGCTTCAAGGACAGAGAACCAGGCTCAGATGGGTTCATTGCTAAATATAACCAAGCACTTAAGGAAAAAGTCTTATTAACTTAAAGAAAAATATCTCCCAGAGGATAAAAGCAGGGAAAATACTTGTAAATATAAGAAACAGTAACTACACACCAATACTTTTCATAAAACAAATAATATATATATGTATGTCATTACCAAGTGAGGTAAATTTTCTCTCAGCAAACTAGAAATGCTTAATAAAGAATATGTACAAAAATAAATCTATAGTTAATGTCACACTTATTGATTGAAAATACAGATTTCCCGCTATGAACAGGAGCAAGGCAAGGACACCCCTCCACTGTGTTTAATATTGTGCTACTAGTCCTAACTAAAGCAGTAAGATTAGAATGAGAACAGGCCCAAAATGATACAGATTGGCCAGGAAGTAATAACACCACTGTCATGCTCAGATTGGGTCACTACCTGTCTACCTGTGTGATAAACCAACGGAACAAAGGTTTTTTTTTTGTTTTTTTTTTTTTTTTTTTTTTTTTTACAAATAGCTGGAGAAAGGTTGCAGCACACAGGATTAATATATGCAGTCAATTACTTCCTATAAGAGCAACAGACAAGTGGGAGTTGAGATTAAAACACAATATAAACAGACTAGCAGCCTGAGGGTAAGAATGGGCTTGGGTGAGCACAGGCCCACATAACTCTAGACTCCATGCAGATAAAACACAAACTGGCAGTTTGGGGCTAAGACAGGGTTTTGGCATACACAAACCTGTAAAGACCCTGGTACCATGTGGCTGGTGCATGGACTGGCAGCCCCAAGGTGAGATGGAATTTGGGAGCACACAGGCCCTGGCGTATCCAAGATGTAGGGTTTACATGGCAGCAGCTGCATGGGAAGGCAGGACTGTGGCACTCAGAGCTGTGCTGGCACACATAGGTTTAATTTGGCTGACATGACTAGCCTGGAGGTTTTTCCTCTCCCTTAGCAAACTGATACAAAGGACAGGCCCAGGAGTGGGAGGAAGGATAGCACCCCCCTAAGACCAAAAAAAAAAAAAAAAAGAAAAGAAAGAAAAAAAGAAAAAAAAAAAAAAGATGGATGAACCCACCCTAAAGGAAGAAAGGTGATGATTTGAACAAAAATTGAAATACAATAAAACCTCAACCAATAAGCTAACTCAAGATGCCAAAGTCTTCAATGGTACAACCCTTCAATACCTCCTTCTCTAACAAGTATGTGATTAATAACATTACTGCCGCCCAGCATCTTGGCTTCCTCTGAGTCTTGTATGTTCATCATAGCTAGGCATTCTACAAGTCAAGCCTGAAGTCCAGCAGGGAAAGGAGACAAGCTGTAGGGATGCTCCTCCCTCCCCACCCCCACAAGCCTGGGCTGGCCTCCTGACACTGCAGCCTGCTTTGCTGGGCCACCACAACTGGTCCCTGAGGGAGGCCAAATTCCCAGGAAGCCTCCAGAGGCAGCACAGGTGGGGTCTCTGAGAAATAATCATTATAAAACTGTAACAGGACAGGTGAAAGGTTCGGGACACGGGGAAAAGACCAAATGGACAAATTATGGACATAGAAAAAGTGTGTGTAAAGAACACCAGCTAGACAAGAGCAGAAAAATCCCGCACATCATTTTACAACACACTACAAATATGAACAACAATAAGAGTCCTGAAAGCTGCAACAGGAAAGGTCCAAGTCACATATCAAGACAGTCTAATCTGAATAACGGCTAATAAATATGGCAAACTTTCAAAGCCAAAATGGCTTGGGAAGATGTAATCTAAGCTCTGGAAAACCATAACTACCAATCCAGACCATTACACCCAACAAAACTCTCTGTCATAACTGAAGGAGGAACAAAAAATTTCCATAGTAAAAGCAGGCTCAAGAAATTCAAGACTAGGCTCCCGTCTCCGGTCCCCATCGAGAGCACCCATGGAGCTCTGATACAGCCCCACCCATCCCCACCACCAGCCTACCCCCCTACCCTGTGCCCTACCCCACCCACGGTCCTGCCGCTCTGGTTGAGCACTGGGACAGAGGGTGGAGCCAACAGTCCACCCTACGTCAGAGCCAAACCTAAGAATAATAGGCATAGAGGAAGGTGAGGAAGCCCAGCTCAAAGGAGCCAAAAACATATTCAACAAAATCGAGGAAAACTTTCCAAATCTGAAGAAGGACATGCCCATGAAAGTACAAGAAGCATATCGAATCCCAAATAGGCTGGACCAAAGAAAAAAGACCCCTCGACATATAATAATCAAAACACCTAGCATACAGAATAAAGAAAGAATATTAAGAGCAGCGAAGGAAAAAGGACAGGTAACATATAAAGGCAGACCTATCAAAATTACACCTGACTTCTCCATGGAAACCCTCAAGGCCAGAAGGTCCTGGATAGATGTTCTAAAAGTATTAAGAGAACACGGATGCCAGCCTAGGCTACTATATCCAGCAAAACTCTCAATCACTATAGATGGAGAAAACAAGATATTTAATGACAAAACCAGATTTTCCCAATATATATCTACAAATCCAGCCCTACAGAAAATATTGGAAAGAAAACTACAACCCAAGGAAGGTAACTATGCCCACAAAAATGTAGGCAACAGATAATCCAGCTACACCAGAAACCAAGGGTAAAGCAGACTAATATATTCACAATACCACTGCTAACAACAAACCTAAATCAAACAAGCATCAACAATCAATGGTCCTTACTCACCCTCAACATTAATGGTCTTAAACTCACCTATAAAAAGACACAGGCTAACAGAATGGATACGAAGACAGAATCCATCCTTCTGCTGCATACAAGAAACACATCTAAGCTTCAAAGATAAACATTACCTCAGGGTAAAGGGTTGGGAAAAGATTTTCCAATAAAATGGAAATAAGAAGCAAGCAGGCGTAGCTATCCTAATATCCAACAAGTTAGACTTCAAACCAAAATTAGTCAAAAGAGATGAAGACAGTCATTTCATATTCATCATAGGAGAAATCCATCAACACAAAGTCTCAGTTCTGAACATCTATGCCCCTAATACAAAGGCACCCACATTCGTAAAAGAAACACTACTAAAACTCAAAGTTCATATAAAACCTCACACACTTATAGTGGGAGACTTCAATACACCACTCTCAACACTAGACAGGACCACAAAGCAGAAACTCAGCCAAGAAACAAAAGAGTTAACAGAAGCTATGTCTCAACTGGGGTTAACAGACATCTATAGAACATTCCATCCAAAGACAAAAGAATATACCTTCTTCTCTGCTCCACATGGAACCTTCTCTAAAATCGACCACATACTAGGTGACATAACAAACTTCAACAGATAAAAGAGAATTGGAATAGTCCCCTGTATCTTAACAGACCACCCTGCTTTAAAATTGGAATTCAACAACAACACAAATAGCAGAAAACCTGCAAACTCATGGAAACTGAACAATGTGCAATTGCACCACTCCTGAGTCAAAGAAGAAATAAAGAAAGAAATTAAGGACTTTCTAATATTCAACGAGAATGAGGACACAACATACCTGAACTTGTGGAACACCTTGAAAACAGTGCTACACATACAGACAGCTTACCTGAACAAGGAGGAGCTAAAGGCCACTAGACTGATAGCTGGGAAGCCATCATGGGACTGACTCAGGTCCCCCTGAATATGGGTCTCAGGATTGAGCAGTCTAAGGAACCTCAGA